CGAGCCCCAGCCCCGCCAATCATTCTCCCCCCCAACTCCCCCCCCCGCACCAACAGCGAGGCCCAGGTAGCTCCCATCCGCCGGGCCTACCAATCCTTCTCCCCCCACACACACACTGGCAGAGAGGCCCATGCGGCTCCTAGCCGCCAGTGCGGGGCAAGGCTTCTCCCGCTCCCCCCCCCAGCATCGAGGCCCAAGCAGCTCCCAGCTGCCAGGCCCACCGAGCCTCCCCCCCAATGGCCAGAGCGTTCTCTGCGCATGCGCAGGGAACGCTTTTACTTTGGGGGGGGATTTAAATATCCCCTGCATATTTTTTTCAACTTTTTTATTTTTCTGCACACCTGGGGACTGCTCTAAGTGTGCAGGAAAATCTCTCTGCCCCCCAAGTGCCCACGATGTGTGGATTTAGATATCTGCACGGAGGGGGCAACTTGGCTATTATTAGATAAAAATGTTTATAGGTATTAAGTATCTTGAATGCTTAACCCCATTACAGGAGACAGATTAGATTAAGAGACATCAAGTTATTAAATTAGCAAGAGCGAACAGCTCAATGTCTATCTCTGGTAGTCAGCTCTCATGAAATACCAGGTTTGTAGTTATGTTGGGTATTCCAGCAAGAAATCAACAGGTCCCATCTCTCTTTATATATAATTGAGTAGTGGTCCCACATCTCTCCTTATATATAATTGAGTAGTGGTCCCACAACATTCTATGCACTCCAAAATCAGTTGGCTCCATGATGTGTCAATCACAAGGTGTCTCTATCCACTGGCTGTGTTGCCTGAGTTCCCTCCCACCCACTGCAGCCTAGGCCACTCTTCTCTGATTGGGCCAGCATTTCAAGGTCATTTGCATATGGAAGCTGACTGGACTTCACCCCATTCTGCACCTCAAACTGTATTCTGAGGTAAAATATGTCCTCACTCACAACACATCACATCCCCTTTAAAAGAAACAAACCCAATAACACAATCATGCCACACCACAAAAAAGACAGATCACACCACAAGCAGAATACCACAAGGCAAAAAATGATAGGAAAAGGTGCCAGCAGTCACCCCATTACTGCCATAGCAGAGTGGGGGCTGCTGTTGGTGGGGAAATGGAAAGCTGACCAATGAAGGGGGAATGTAGGTTGATGCTTGGCTGGGAAGTAGATAGCGTTGCCAACTCCAGATGGGAAAATCCTGGAGATTTGAGAGATGGAGCCTGGAGAGCGGGATGAGGAGTGGGGCCTCAGACAGGTACAATGCAATAGACTCTGCCCTCCAAACCAGCCATTCTGTAATGGGGAACCACTGTTGCCAATCTCCAGGTGGGGGCTGGAGATCACTCAGAATTACAATGCTCTCCAGATGGCATTGATTCGTTCCCCTGGAGAAAATGGTGGACTCTTGTGTCCTTATACCCTGCTTAGGTTGCCATGGCAAATTGATTCTGAGTGCCCACGGCCTTGGCACTCTCCCAGAGCCTCTTTCAGGTGCTCATTGTATTTATTTCCACAATTGGCCTTATTCCTAGTAGAACCATAAAGCTAAAAGCCCTATCCACACTTACTTGATAGTGGTTAACACTGTACTGAGTGGTTTACTTTCACAAAACCATGCTTGGTGAGTAAATACTAAGCGGCTGATCTACGGTTGCATGAGCTTTGATAGGCCATGGGATTCTCGTTTAAGAGCATACCCTCTAGATGTAGACAACACAGCCACACAACCCAAAATATTACTAAGAGCTAAAGTTTATCAGCCAGAAAACATACAAGAACACAGCCCAAACTCCAACCGAGACAGTTAGTAAATTATACAACTGAAGCTTGGTTAAAGTGTTTCACCATTAAGGAATGCTTCTGACTCTGAAACTACACTGTCTTTCTTAGATGCTAAGGATCTTATTGAGGGTGAACTCATATTCTTCAGAACAGACCTATGCAACTGAACTTGCCGCTATGAAGACTTAATTTGTTCAGGATATCCTGCTTCACACTGAGCATTCACTCATCCTGCACATTAAATATAACGATCCTTGTTGATTCAATAAATATACTGCTTCTGTCAACATTTGGGTGTGTTCACTGTGGACAGAGAGGGGAAGGAGGAAGAGGTAATGGTGGCAGCTGCTGGACAACAGCATTAAAGTTACATGTACCACAATCCCACTTGGGGTTTTCTCAGCCTCTCTACCCCTTCTGGGAAGAGGGAGAGATGTGAGAGTTTGGAGGAAGCTCACACCCCTTGAGAGAGTCCTCTCTATTCACCTCAAAACTGTCCCTGAGACTTCCGGGTGTCATAGAAAATCTGCAACCACCACAAGATTATTCTCCCCCAATTTATCTGATGATTGGGGTCATCGAGAAGAGTGAGATGTGCAGCTCAGGAATCTCCAATCTTTTTCAGCCTGTGGGCATCTTTAGAATTCTGATACAAGGTGGTGGGCACAACCACAAAATGGCCACTGCAAGAGGCAAAGACACATACACGTACAGACGAAGCCCAAATGTAGGGGGCAAGAGCAGTGATTTTTTAAAATACACTGGGGAAAGAGGAGAGGACAGCACCCATGGGCACCACATTGGGGACCTCAATGTAGCTTTACCAAGCAGTTTAAGGCAACTCTCTCATACACACACACTTTAATAAAAGGCATTAATTTAACTAGCATGCAATCTATTCAAAATATACTGACATAGTTGAGGTTAGGAAACATCAGCTTGCAATAAACAGAAAAGAGAAATAATAGCTATCTGACATTGCCTTATATATCATCAGCATCCACACACATACCCTGTGAGAATGGGCTTGGAATGACAGGAGGCAGGATTGAGGATGCTCCCCATTTCCTCCTGGCCCTGTCTCTCCACATGCCATTTTCCCCAACTGGCAGGCTATTTTAACTCTTTCGCTCCCAGTTACATAGATGGTTGCGGGGCCAATACCATCTCAGGGGCTGAATCGCTAAAAAGTCAGCCAAAATTCTGTAACTCGATTCCTCCTGTTTTGCCCTACCGTTCACACATCTCTCTGTGTGTTTCCTTTGAAGACAGGCCCCCTTCATTCACAATCACCTGAACCATGACATTTTCATGAAAAACAGACTACTTTACATCAGGCCTCAACAAGTTTTCTTTGGCTCTAGGAGCCAGCCCAAAATTTAGGAAAAATAATATTTTTTCAGCCTCCAGGGTTTTGTATCTCAATGACAACAATTTTCCAGTTATTGTTACCACAAAACCTAATCTTGAACTCTTCAGTTTCTCATAATTTTATTAAATCTATGACAAAAGTGTTGTAGCACATAAATAATTTGACATAACCCTGCTTGTCATCACCACAACGAACAGCTAACCTCTAACCCTAACCGAACTTCTCCTTGACTTCTAATCATTTCGTTACTGCTTTTAAAAGCTCCATGTAACTTAATATTGGAGCCCCTATAGAAAAAACGACTTAAGAAATTAATTCATTCAATGATCCAAAGCTAACAAAGACAAAAACACCACATATGTGTATTTTATATCATACAACAAAACATCCTGAAGAGAAAGTATCAAGAAGTTGCATACTTCTACTGAGATGCTTCTGTTCCACAGAAGCCCAATAATGGTTCCTTCTCAATACACAGGTCATAGGGATATGCAACAGAATGGTTCAGCAATGCATTTTAGAAGAGAAGAGATTGGATTTATACCCCACCCTTCACTACCCAAAGGAATCTCAGAGTGGCTCACAAACTCCTTTCCCTTCCCCTCCCCACAACAGACACCCTGTGAGGGAGGTGGGGCTGAGAGAGCTCTGACAGAAACTGCTCTTTTTCAAGAACAGCTGTGCCAGAACTATAGCTTGCCCAAGGTCATCCAGCAGGTGCAAGTGGAGGAGTGGGGAATCAAACCTGGTTCTCCCAGATTAGAGTCTGCACACTTAACCACTACACCAAACTGGCTCTTTTATAAAGGGAAACGGATTGTAGACTATACCACTGTGAATAAGACATGTCGACTACTGCATATATTACTATTGCAGCTCCATGATTTCTACAAAATATATGTTTTCTGCATTATATCCATACCGTATCATACATAATATACTATGTTTGTTCAGATTTCTGTACTCCTGTACATTGCTTATTAGGACTCACAATAATGGGTTTATATTAAGGGCAGGAAGGTACTGGCTGGATATTAGGAAAAATTTTACACTATGAGTTGTGCAACAGTGGAATCAGCTGCCTAGGGATGTGGTGAGCTCCCCCTCACTGGCAGTCTTTAAGCAGCGACTGGACAAACACTTGTCAGGGATGCTCTAAGCTAATCCTGCATTGAGCAAGGGGTTGGACTAGATGGCCTGTATGACCCCTTCTAACTCTGTGATTCTATGTCTTCATATTGATTGTCTCAATTTACACTGTGCAATCTGCTATAAGTCACAGTGAGAAAAGCTGACTAAATACTGTAAGGCCCCAGTCACACAGGATGGAAAATGCGCGTGCGTGCGCGCGCAGGGGGGGGGAGTGGCTGTTTGCCCCGGAGCAAAATAATGTGCGGCCGCCCGATCACACGTCCTGTCGAGGTCCCGTGGTTAGGGCGTGAGGTACCGATCACACGGCTATCCTGCAGTGTGACAAAGAAGCAGTGCGGCGCAATCACACCAGCAATCCCCAGGCGCCGCTTCCGTGGCAAACGGGAATATTTTCTCACCAAAAGGTGAGCATGCGCATGATCATTTGTGCGCATCCTATGAAGACTTAAAAAAAACAACTAACCAGTTTGCGACGGAACTAGGACGGGACGCGATCAGACGCCCGCCCTTGCTCCGTGTTTTCCAGAAACTAGTACATCGTAAGTACTGGTTTTTTACTCCGTATCTTTGGCAAGAAGCCACGGGTTAGCCACGGGTGCACTACACTTCCCAGATGTTGTGGTGTGATCACGCCCGGAAAATCCGCCTCTCATCCGTATCTTTAGCGCGGCAAATGCTCCGTGTGAACGGGGCCTTAATAAATAATCGTAAATAATATTGTAAATAAACAAATAACCTTACTTGAGCCTGGCAATGTGTAAAGAAGCTGTTTTGTGGTACAACAAACAAGTAAAATCAACATACAGCATCAGCTGATGCATCAGCATCGCCTTAGTGCAGCCATGCCTTGTTATATCAATAACACGTTTGAGATCTCATATTGCTCCTTCAGAAGGCACAATTTGACAGACAGCCCAAGACCAAAGTGGGGCTTTTGTCAGAAATCTGAAGAGTCAGTTCCTGCAGTTCCCTTGAGCGACTTACCTTCCACGTCATACCACTGAGCACCGTTAGTGATGCCTCCTTCGAAAACTTCGTTCTCCTCCCCAGGGCAGTTTGGAGTGCCAGTTTTCATTATTGGGTGGTTCAATGCATAAGCCTTTGCCAAGTACTTGAAGACTTCGTCATCAGCAGATCTGCTATACAACCCAGAGCGCTGGTGCACAGCAGAGTCGTCATATGGATAGCTTGCAACAACAGAGCCCCCGTGCAGGTTCGCAGAAAGCACAAACCTGTATGAAAAACAGAAGTGCATCTGTTATCCACACTGCAGAGGAGAGGAACACAAAGTCAAGATACACCTCCAATTAACATGACGTATTTTATCCCACTGCTAAAGAAACTTGAAATGTGGCTGCTTAAAAGCGACCCCCGAGAAAATGCAATACACTGGATAGAATACTAGGGACTGGGGGTGGGGGGCAGAGCCTCCCTTTTGAGAAACAAGCTCACCAGAAACTCCCAAGCAATGTAGCAACCAGAAAATCAGATAGAAGCCTATTTAAACTCAGTAAAAAAGTTTATTAGGTATTACTGTACAGGAATCCAGGCAATAAAAAATATATTTAGGCAGCAGTTTCTAGGTTACCCATGAGTACTGCAACTAGGAAGACAATTTCACTAAGGTTTTGAAAACCATTCTAGATACATAGTTCATAAACTAATTAGAAAACCAAACTGAAGTGGAGCATGCACAGGCTTCTAACTTAATTATAGGCAACTACACGAACCTCAACTTCCTTCTCACCTGTTCAAAGTCTTTGCAACTCCTTCTAAAAGCACCTGATACCCAAGCACTTGCATTTTAAAAGGCATCAGAAGAGCCTTTTTTAACAAGTCACTGAGCACCAACCAGAGCAGCACATTCCATTTAATTAAAGAAGCTGGATATCATACATCAGTTTGTTTATTCAGTTTTGTGCCAGTCACTGAGTACTCCATCTACAAATGCTCTAAGCGCTGTTGCAAGCCAGAAAGCAACTACAATGAGTTTCTTTGTTGAGCCTAGCCGGTTTTTAACTGATACTGGTGATTATAATGCTAAGGTCAATCAGGGTTGGGAGTTTGAGATTTGGATGAACACGGAAGGGAAAGGTCTTGAAATACTTCCGCAGCTGACAAAGATTTTATGCAACCAGATTGCAAAATCTCCTCACATGACTGCCTTTCCTATAGCTTTGTACTAAATATTTTTGTATGCCAAGTTTGCAGAACGGCAAGGTAAAAAAAGTGGGGTGAAAGTTGGCCTTTTGCTGTACTCAAGTGTAGTGTTGCATATTATGTTTCTGCCACACATCCCAGTGGTCCCCCAGTAATATAATGGCACTCTGCTTTCTGGCCATGTGGCTGCCCCCTAAGGTTCAAGCAGCCTCAACAGGAGCTTCTCCAGCCACAACCTTGAAGACCTTGAATCCCCGCTCACCTTTAGGACTCTCAGTATTTATTCATTTATTTCCTGCCTTTCCCTCCTAATGAGTACCCAAAACAACTTATGTTCTTCTCCTCTCCTCCATTTTATCCTCACAACAACCCTGTGAGGTAAGTAAGGCTGAAAGTGAGTGATTGATCCAAGGACACCCAGCAATCTTTCACAGTGGAATGGGGATCGGAACCTGAGTCTCCCAGATCCTAGTACAACACTAGCCACTGCACCATAGTGGGTTTCACAATTACCTGAAAGCACAATCCTAATACTTCTCCTACAAAGGACAGAGCCTTTACCCCTATACTCCATCTACACATCTCAGATCTCCTATCTGAGTCATCAAGTCCCTCATATGAACCCTGTTTCCCCGAAAATAAGACCTACCCAAAAAATAAGCCCTAGCAGGATTTATATGCATTTGTGGTATAAGCCCTATTGTGTCTTCTTGAGAAAAAATAAGTATAAGACAGTGTCTTATTTTCGGGGAAACACGGTATATAGAACTAAAACCACAGGATCTATGAAAGTGGACTAGCTCAGGAAAGCACATAAACACAATAAGCTGGTTTATTCTCAAAGTGCTCCAGGTCTGTTAGAACATAAGAACATAAGAGATGCCAATGTTGGATCAGGCCAAAGGACCATCCAGTCCAACAATCTGTATCACACAGTGGCCAGAAATACCAGTGCCATCAGGAGGTCCACCAGTGGGGCCAGGACATTAGAAGCCCTCCCACTGTTGACCCCCCCAAGCACCAAGATGGCAGAGCATCACTTGCCCCAGAGTCCCTATCTTTACCTTGTGGCTAATAGCCACTGATGGACCTCTGCTCCATATGCTTATCTATGTTTTCATACAGCTATTTCCCAACCTTCTATACACTTTCCCACTATGCAATGAGTGAAAAAGCTCAGTCTACTAGCCTTACACAAAATACAGGTCACGGACATCATACTAAATTTCTCCCTCCTAATCCTTAGCAAGTTCCACTCTTATGCCTTCAAGGCTTCCCATAAAGAACAAGCTACAGCTATACTGCCTTTTACAGTCTTGCCCCAACCAGCTCCGATCACATTTCTTCCTCCCTAGTGAACAAACCCTACCTCCTGCTCCCACACAGTGATCACAAACATCCTGCTCCAGTTTCTGGTCAGAAGGACCACCTCCTCCATAAAGAGTTCCCTGCATTTTAAGATGTTCAGGACAGGCCTAGATCCAGATGTTCTATCTTCTTCAGTTAGGTTGGTGGAAACTCAAGGCTGGGCTTTCTCACTGGTGGCACCACAACAGTGAAGTTCTGCTACATTAAAAAACAACTTTGTTTAACTGCTAGGTAAAAGCTGCGGTGGCTCAAGTGGTTAAGACGCTGAACTGCAGGCTGTGGAAGGTCAGTAGTTCAGCAGTTCAAGACCTGGGTGCCGCATGATGGAGTGAGCTCCCATCTCTAGTCCCAGCTCCTGCCAACCTAGCAGTTCGAAAGCAAGAAATTGCAAGTAGATACATAGGTACCGCTTCGGTGGGAAGGTAACAGCGTTCCGTGCGCCTTGGTGATTAGTCATGCCGGCCACATGACCACGGAAACGTCTTCGGACAGCGCTGGCTCTTCGGCTTTGAAACGGAGATGAGCACCGCAACCCTAGAGTCGGATTCGACTGGCTTTCGAGCAAGGGAACCTTTACCTTTTTAAAAGCTATTCTTTGTTATGTTTCCATTATGACTGCGGCCACAGTCTTAAGAACACTTAGGCAGTAAGCCTCACTGAATAAAACAGCGATCTATTTCTACATAAACGTGCTCAGAACTGCTCCCTCAGTCACCTCATAGAGATCCCCACAGACCAGTTTATGAAGGGCTATACTGCTGTTAATACTCATCTTAGGGCCCCGGTCACACGGGTCGGATATCGTGGGGGGGAGGCGTGGCTGGCTAATTGCCCCGGCGCAGTTTGATACGCGATTACGCGATTAGATGGGCCAGCGGCACACCACAAGTCCTTCCCTCGGCGCCAGTGGGTAAACGAGGGACCGGAGGGGAATGCTGCGCACCGGCGGGATCACACCACGGGCGTCTGGAGGCAGTCCGTGGCAAGCGTTTACTAGTACCTTGGAGGTACTAGTTTTTAAATGTGCACTGTCAGCGGTAAGCCACAGGTGCGCTCCACTTCCCTGATGCTGGTTTGTGATCGCGCCCGGATAATCCACCCACCTTCCGTGCCTCTTCCGCGGCAACTTTGCCGTGTGACCGGGGCCTTAGAAACCTTTTTATCTAAGAAATACTTAGTGAAATATCCAAGGTGATTGGCCATGTTATACCAAATACGCTGGAGTCGGTACTCCTTAATCACTGGCCAACTCTATTACTCACTAAACAAACACCAGAATTCATATCATTATTAATTTCAGCTGCCAAGTCTTTGATAGCTCAAAAATGGAATCAAGATAAAGTACCTTCGCTGAAGAATTGGTTGTCAAAAAGTTGGGATATGGCTGTGGCTGATAAGATAGCAACTCAAATAACTGTATCACAAACACCTACTAGGACCAACAATTTTCTTGAGAAATGGTTCCCTTATTTTGAGTATATCTCTTCTAAGTCAAATATACGATACAATACACCAGATAAATATAGAGATTTTGTCTTTTACCTAAGTGTACAGGCTATAGCTAATAATTAGCTGACAAGATATGTATTTTTATTTTGTTGCAGTTGTGGTTCTTGTTTATTGCATCATGTTGATGTTATGACTTTATTGTTGAACAATTATGTACCTTTAGAACAAATTGTTCCTTTTCTTTGTTGTTTGTATTTTGCTACTAAAAATTTTTTTTTGCTAAAAAAAAAAAGTAAGCTTTTCATCTCACTCTAACAATTTCCATTTTTCTTTTCACTTATTTTACTTGCTGTTGGATTTTCTGGATTTTAACGCTTTTTGCTGCTTTGTTTACGTTTTAACACATGATTATTTGGCCATGTAGTCAGTCATTTCCAAAGCAGGAGCAGGAAGCAGCAAAATACATTCCTCCCAGCACAGAACAAGCTTCACCTTCCAAGAAATCTCACAAGCAACTACCCAGGACCCCTTATCTATTATTCAACTCCCCCACCACCACCAGCAAACAAGAAAGGCTCCCAGATTCCCCCTCACCATCAAAGCATGACCAGGATCACTTCCAAGATGGTCAGTTTCTCCCTTCTATCTAATAAAGACCAGCCTCCTGACTTTCCATGCCTCACTCACAGGGGGATGGATCCAGGTGGTCAGTCATGTTGTTCTGAAGCAGTAGAGCAAATTTAGAGTCCAGTGGCACCTTTAAAGTCCAACAAAGTTTTACTCTGGGTATGAGCTTTCGTGTGCACACAGACCTTTTCAAATGTATTTGGAAAAGTGCGCGTGCACTCGAAAGCTCGTACCTTGAATAAAACTTTGCTGGTCTTAAAGGTGCCACCGGGCTCTAAGTTTGTTTCACAGGGGGATAATTCAGATTCCTATACGCCAAACCCACTAGAATAGACCCCCGCTGAGACTCCACCCGTTTGGGGCAATAGCCTCGCTACGGGCCCGCCCCACGCCCCGCCCCCGCGCAAGGTGTCTCCGCCCTCCAACGGGAAGCCCCGCCCCCTCCCTCACCGGTTGCGCCGCATCCATTCCATGAGCGCGCGCACTTCGGGGACCGTGGCCAGATCCGGCCGCGCGGTTGCGAACTGGTCGGGGAAGCTGCGGTTGAGGTCCTTGCCCCCGGCGTTCTCGCGCCCTGCCGGGCCCTTGCCGGCGGCGCCTGCGCAGTCCCCTTCGGTGGCGCGCGCGAAGCCATCCGGGTTGAGGCTGGGCATGAGGTAGAGGTCGGTGCTGTTGAGGAGGCGGCGCAGGCGGGGGTCTCCCTGCAGCCAGCCGGACACCAGCTCGCGAGCCAGGCGCACGAGGAGGGCCCGGCCCAGCGTCTCGTCGCCGTGCATGTTGGCCACCAGCTTGACTTGAGGGCGGCCGGCGACGGGCGGCCCGCCGGGATCGGCATCGGGGCCCGCCTCCACCTCCGGCAGGTTGGCGCCGAGGCGCAGCACCCACAGCTCCCGCCCCTCTCCCGAGCGGCCGATGGAGAAGAGCCGCGCCAAGCCCGGCGGGGCCTCGTCCTCCGCCAGCGAACGCAGCGAGGACGCCAGCTCGGCCTCGTCCATGTAGTGCATCGCCAGAGCCGCTCCGGTCACCGAGGTGTTCGCCGCCGTCGTGGAAGCCGCAGCCTCGGCTTTCTTAATGTGCGCCGTCTCTGCGCGCCATAGGAGCAGCAGTAAGGGCAGCAAGGGCGCCAACCACCACCGGCCTGCCATCTCCGCCTCAAAGCTTCAGGCAGGCCGCGGTGGAGGGGAAAAGTGCTCTGAGGTGACTCGACACCCGATTGGGTGGGAACGGAAGGGCAGTGCGCCAATCGGGAAAGGGATGCGGAGGGAAGCCAATAGGAAAATGGAGGAGGTATGGGAAAATCAGCCAATGGCAATGGAAAGCCTAGGCGAGACCGGCGAAAGGGAAAGGGTTAAGAAGCAAACGGAAACAGGGAAAAGGCGTTGATGACTGCGAAGGAGGCGGGGAGAAGACGGAGGGGGCCAATGAGAGGCAGGGAAAGCGGTGACGAAAGAAGACGGGCAAGCTTTGAGAGTTCTGGCTGACTTTAGTGGATGGGCAGGGAAAAACATATCGGGCAGAGAGAGCCGGTTCGGGATGTTCGCGTCGGGGCAATACTTTCGAAGGGGCTGGTGGCGTTAGCTGTTACAGTTTAGAGTCTTGGGGCATCGTGAAAACTTTTCCCGTGTCGTGCATGACTCTTATCCCTGTATAATGCACCCTTATGAATGACAGTAGAACAAAGTTTGAGTCCAGTGGCACCTTTAAGAGCAACAACGTTTTATTCAAGGTATGAACGTTCGTGTGCACGCGCACTTTTTCAGATGTGCGTGTGCATGCACACGAAACTTCATGTTGTTGATCAGTTGCACAGTCGAGTCCGACTCTTCGTGAACCCATGGGCCACATCACGCCACGCCCTCCTGTCTTCCGCCGTTCTCCGGAGTTTGCTTAATTTCATGCTAAGCTCACACCTTGAATAAAACTTTGTTGGTCTTAAAGGTGCCGCTGGACTCAAACTTTGTTCAACTGCTTCAGACCAACACGGCTGCTCACCTGGATCTATGAATAACAGTTTTAAGTTCGCAAGGTTTCTTAGGAATATCCCCCTCCCAACTGAATTTTAATAAGGCTAACCACTTTTTATTACACTGTCACCATTATGGACAAGATCTTGTTCCATTAGGAGTACAGAAACAGATATACAATACATGGAAACTAGGAGATAGAAAAAAAAATCAGCATTTCTCCTCACCCCAAGCATTATTAGCGTTGCTCCTTACTTACTCCCTCCCCTTATAGGCAGAAGTGGTTGCTTGTATGTCTCCCATTTCAGACATTAATATTGAAAGTCTTTCAAAAAGTAAAAGCATTTTAGCACCTTAGCTTTAGGCAGCTACCCAAACCTGTGAATTTTCAAATTGGCATGAATTATGAATATAAGCTCTGTAGAGGTCTTTTTTTAATTTAAAGCTGCTATTTTTAAAAAATGAAATGGTAGTGTTGCAGTGTTATGGATATTTTCATTACTTCTCCAGAAACAATCACAAGGATTTCACCCTTGGAAAGGAGTAAGAAATCACATGGAGGTCAGAGAACAATTAAGATAAGGTGTTCGGGATAAAATATGGCAATCATCCCTTGAGTTCAAGATGCATTAATGTTTAAAAAACGTTCTGAGTAAATTTCTCTTAGCAATACTTTCCACATTGGACCAGTTCAGATCAAAACTTCTACCTCCAACATCTAGATTTCATCCTCTTCTTAACCAAGGTTGGTTCCCCCCCCCCCACTTTTAACACTTCTGTTTTCAACACATTGCATTGCGCGAATGCTCTCTGCTTAACAGACCTTACTTCCAACCATGCACTGCTTGACAGATCTGCTCTGGAAAACAAACTGGGCTTCAAAATACCATGGTTCTAATTCTTTCAAATCTCCCACTTTTGCTCCCAAATTAATCTTAAATCCATTGTTGTTGTTGCTCAGTCACACAGTCGAGTCCGACTCTTCGTGACCCATGGACCACATCACACCAGGCCCTCCTGTCTTCCTTAAATCCATTATCAACCACTAACTGACTTCGAAATCGTAATAAAACCCACACAGGAACCCAAAAAACATCTTATATCTTTCCTATACAACGTTCTTAACAATTTAGATAGCCACATGCATCTCTCATACCACTCAGCTTGGCATAAAGCATGTGGGGAAGTTCTTCCAGATGCTTTTTGGAACTCTGTGGCACTCTCCCCCATTTAACACAAAAATAATTGCTATTAAACTACAAGCTTTTAAACTAGTGTCCCATTGTTACCTAACCCCTAGGAAAATGGCTCATTCAAACTCACGGTTCACTCCTTTATGTTGGAAAAAATGCAGATCTTTTGGTTCTAATCTTCACTGCTGGCTACATTGCCCCCAAATCAAAAATTTCTGGGACATGGTTCTAACACGCATAGAATCTACTACAGGTCTCAATATCCACCCTTCTCTTGCTAGAACCAGTTTGGTGTAAGTGGTTAGGAGTGTGGACTCTAATCTGGGAGAACCATGTTTGATTCCCCACTCCTCTGCATGCAGCTGCTGGTGTGACCTTGAGTCAGTCACAAGTTCTCAGAGCTGTTCTCTCAGGAGCAGTTCTTGGAAGAGCTCTCTTAGCCCCACCTACCTCACAGGGTATCTGTTGTGGGGAGAAGAAGGGAAGGAGATTGTAAACCGCTCTGAGACTCCTTTAGGTACTGAAGGGTGGGGTATAAATCCAATCTCTCTCTCTCTCTCTAATCTTTTTTTGAATGGTTGGAATACCATGCAACATGCACATCCCAAAAGAGAAATCGTTCCCATCCTTCTCTCAGCTGCTCAAACAGCAATTGCTACTCATTGGAAAAACACACCTTCCCCCAAACGTCTCTGGCACAAGAAGCTTTGAGACTTTTACATCATTGCTAAAATAACAATTAACACTTCTCCTCTCACCTCTGCCTCCTCTCTTTCTAACTTTTCTGCAACTTGGCTCCCAATTATTGACTATTTAACGGAACAAGGTAAAATCCCAAGTGTAATAGATCAACTACATCTATGGTGATAGTAACATGATTATGTAGCTTAGTGACGCTTTCTCTTTTCTCTTTTTATTTTATTCCCCCCCTTCTTTAATAATAAATATACTTCTGATCAACATACACTAGCTATGACTCAGTTTTTTAATTGCAATTTCAGATATTGTCAAATTCTCAAGACTCTGTATTCTATGTTCATCATTCAGTAAAATGTTATTTGGGGAAAAAATGTTCTGAGTGATTGGCTGATGGCCCGGTATGCTGTATAAACTCAAATGGTATTCTCTTACCAGTTCAGGTTTATGTTGGAGGTTCTGGGGAGTGGTCCTCTGGTCCTGAGGCACTAAAGTAGAGTTCTCTAATACGTAGAAGGCATTACCAGTTGCCTTTGTCTAGGACGCATTCCGTAATGGCTTGAGCTTTTTTGCTGGCTGCCCCATACTTGCTGGATAGTCTCCCAGAAGAGGTCAGAGGGCCTCTGCCTTCTGGCAGGGTTATAAAACTGACTTATTTTTGAAAGCTTTGAAGGCAGTCTGACTCTGGCCAAGAAAGCAACTGTTTTTATAGCTACTAACAGAGTGATTGTTTACTGGCTGTTTAAATACAATTTTTAAAGTATTGGTTTGTACTGTTTTTAAGTATTTTGTATTGTATACAGTCTGTCTGGAAGGAGGCAAGTTTATACACATTTTAAATGAAAGGAAGTGGTGAGGTTTTCATTTGTCCCGTGTCACTTGCAATGTGCCAATGTTAGCCCCTTTACCTAAGAAATGAAGGTCACCCACTCTCCAGCACCTCTAAAGTGGAGAGTAAAGTACATAATCACACCCACTGAGATCTTGCTTCACCAAAGCAGATGTGGAATGTGAGTCTGAAATAAGAATACACTCTTATTTGCTTGATAGCAGGAAGCCTTTCTCCCATTCTCAGAAGATAAAACCCCATACGAAGGGGAGGGGAGGGAAGCTTGAAATTCACAAGTAACCAGAAAGGTATAACTTTAAGCCATAGTTCTCTGTGTATGCCTTCTATTTGGACTTTCATTCGTCAGAGTACTGTCATTTTCTAAAGGGACTTTGTATATGGACTCTACAGTCAAGTTTGTGAGTGGTTCCTGCTTGGCTGAGCAGAGCAGTTGGGAAACAAAACACTTGTAATTCTAAACCTCTGCAGAGGTTTCCTTGAGACTTGAGTGCAGTTGTGAAATCAAGGAAATAGAGAGGTAGGAAGAAGGCATTGACCCGTCAGGTATTCCTCAGTGGGAACATTGCCTCTAGAATTGGACTAATGCCACAAGTGACTCACCCTCAGCTTAAAACTGGTCAAGCCCATCCCTTAGATCCCTGGTTGCGTGTGTGCATGCAGCTCCTGCAATACATCGAACCACAAAGTCTTTATTAAAAAAAAAAATGATCAAGGGAGGAAGTGCTACCAAGCAAACAATTCAATATATTTTGTACATGATGGAATTATACCCCACAGTAAGGGAGAGCAACAGTTTTCCTGTTGATTTCAGTGGCAGTGTGAATTTAGTAATGCTGTTTGCAGTGAGGCGAGTACTAAATAGTCTTTATGGAAGGATGAGTTTCTGGTTTATCGTATGTCTTTGGGATTCTTACTTTTTGTCAAATACTAATTTATAATAAAAACCATTTTTCACTTCCCCTGGGGTTGTGGACCTGGCTGCTTGTCACTTTGAAAGCCACATGGGAGTATTTTCTCCCCCTTTCACCTGCCTGAAACCTGATCTGAGCTAGGTCTCAGGTTGAGAGATTAGAATGTGGAAAGTGAGCATCTCTTCAGCTTATCATGACCTAGATCTTTTCAGGCATGTAAGGTTTTGGGTTACACTCTGGACCTGACTGGCAATCGTTAATTGATTATTTTTTTGGTGGCTGTTCTGACATATTTTCACAAAAAAGTACACCACTTCCAACTGTGCTGCTTTCACCTGTCTGCCTTTGGCTTCTGTAGCTGGGAGCTGCAAACAGCTTTAGGGTTAATGGTTCATGCTGTTTTACTTCCAGGTTCTTACATAGGCTGTTGCCAGATGTCTTCAGATCAAAAGGCAGAAACATTCATGGTGCAGCATTAAGTGATGATCTTTCTGCCTGACTGTAGAATTGTCATTCTGCAGACCTGAAGTTAGTTATGGTTGAGCCTCATGGTGAAGCTGGGTCCTTTGTGCACCACAATACTTAATGAACAGAGAGTGATTAAAATGTGGAATTTGCTGCCAGATGATGTAGTGATGGCCACAGGAATAAACAACCTTAAAAGGGTGTTAGATTCATAGAGGAGAAGTCTATCAATGCTACTAGACATGGTGACTGAGGGGGAAGCTCCACATTCAGAGGCACTAACCCTCTGAATCCCAGTGCCAGGAGGCAACATCAGAGGAAGAACTCAGCCTCGATGCCCAGTTGTTGGCCCTCCAGAAGAACTGGTTGGCCACTGTGTGAAACAGGATGCTGGATGGAGATGGACCTTGGTTTGATCCAGCAGGGCTCTTCTTATGTTCTTAACTATCCCATTTCTCACAATAATCATAAGCATCATTAGCTACAAGCTAGAAAGTTCCCATTTCAGAACTCAGCTCTGTTGTGAACTTGCTGCTTGGCCCAAGGCAATATGTCATTTCTCAGCCCCAGTAATTCAAGGATAACAGTACTGACTGACTTGACAAGATTGTTGTTGAGGTTCCTGAAGTAATTCTTGCAAAAAGCATATAGTGGTTTTTTAAAAGCTGCTTATAAATATTAAAAGCATCTTTCAGAGTGTTTTGTGTCATTTTGTTCTTTAAAAAGTATATTATATAACTTTGTTTTTGCATATTTCTTTTGATTAATACAGCCATGTGAAATTTCGATCAATACTACGTTGGATCGCTATAATAGGAAAGCCTTAAGTTTGGGGTTCCTGACCACTTAATGCCTGTTATTTTCCAAACTTTCCATAGAGATACACTGCTGATACAGAGGGCTGTTGATCCCAAATCTTGCCTTTCCACTCCCTCTAGTGGACAAGCAGCACCGGGGCCAGCAAAACTGAAAGTAGATCCATGAGGGTTTCTTAGCCAAGCTAGGTGCGTTCATTCAAGGTGACCACAGGAAACCAACTGAAAAGAAATGTGTGGTCTTTCTTCCCTTCCTTGGAGGGATGCTTTTCTCTGAATCACCTGGATTTGGCCTCAGAGGGACAAGGAGCCTCCCTTAGCCCTGGATTAGTCCTGCGCTGACTTAGTTTAAGACAGTTTCTTTTCCTATAGATAAAATTAACATTTTCCCTTTTTTTTATCAAGGGAAAGTAACAACAACAGCAAAGATACTGCCATTCATTAGCACTACAATGATTTTCCTGGTGCATCATCATCAGAGTGCTATAGTCTTCAGTGCTACATCTGTACACTCCCACTTCAACACATCTGGTTCTAACTTGGGAGCATGCCAATGTGCTTTTTATTACCCCAACCATAGCCCAGTTAGGCTGAATGGACAGGCTACAAAAGCACCACCACGTCTAGACTCAATATAGCTGGTGGAGTCTAGCCAGGTTGGGTTAGTTGAGTGGGTCCCAGAGGTAAGAAATGCCGCTCTGTGGAAGGGTATGCAGCCAACTGCTTTGAAGAGGGTGGTCATCAGACCCCCTCCTGAAGGTGACCCTAGACCCTCTCGAGCTAAATAACTACCGCCCAGTGGCCAACATTCCTTCTTTTGGGCAAGGTGCTTGAGCAGGTGGTGGCTACACAACTTGGAGACAGATTGTCTAGACCCCTGTAATGGTGTATTATGCTCCCCCCATAAGGGAAGTATTCCTTTTAAAACAGACACATGGAAATGAAGGGTGTCTTTGCCTGTTCAAAAGGGAGACATTAACCTCTAAACTACAGAGCTATATCGAGACAGCTGTTCTCTTCAATAGCCAATCTCTATAAATGAATAGCCCTCTGACTGAAGAGACGTCAGAACTTTATTTATTCCAGGGGCAAAGTGAAAACCTTGTAACCCAGCCAAAGATCACTCATGTTTATCTTTTACGACTTGTATTTAAAATCAATCTAATTACTCTTGAAATGCGTAAATATGAGTCAGGGTGATACAAATATAGTTGCCTGTGTAGATGAAATTAGAAAAATATAAATATCATCCCTTATCCTAGCTATCTTAAAATTAAAAGATGAAATACTATTCCTAAAATTCTTATTAAAGCACTTGCAGAAAGATTAGGTAGTCTCACGCAGTCCACATCTGAGAGATTCAGGGGTGCTTTGGGTGTGGCTATCTTACATAGTTGGAGCAGCGGTGGCTCAAGTGGTTAAGACGCTGATCTGCAGGCTGTGGAAGGTCGGTAGTTCAGCAGTTCGAGACCCGAGTGTGCTGCATGACAGAGTGAGCTCCCGTCTCTAGTTCCAGCTCCTGCCAACCTAGCAGTTCGAAAGCAAGACATTGCAAGTAGATAAATAGGGACCACTTCAGTGGGAAGGTAACAGCGTTCCGTGCCCCTTGGTGTTTAGTCATGCTGGCCACATGACCATGGAAACGTCTTCAGACAGCGCTGGCTCTTCGGCTTAGAAACGGAGATGAGTCAGATTTGACTGGCTTTCGAGCAAGGGAACTTTAACCTTTTATCTTACATAGTTGGCCAAGTTGAGAGTAGGAGGCACCATGCTTCAGTGGTTCCACTCTTGCCTGCCTGGCCAGTTCCAGAAGGTGGTGCTGGGGGACAGCTACTCCGCCCCATGGAATTTATCTATGGAGGCCCACAGAGCTTGATCTTGTCCCCCATGCTGTTTAACACCTACATGGAACCACCAGGAAAGATTGTCTCGGGATCTGGAGTAAGTGCAACTAATATTTGAATGACATCCAGCCCTTTCTCCTTAATAACTTAGTTGGGTTGGTCTGAGGAAGTTCTGAACAGGTGTTTGGAGAATGTAATAGAATGGATGAGGGCAAATGAACTGAAGCTCACTCCAGATAAGAACAAGGTACTGCTTGCCAATGGGATTGAGTCAGCCTGTCCTGGAGAGTGTTGCACTCTTCTTTGAAGTTTGGGGGTTCACAGCTTGAGGGTGCTGCTAGTCGCTGGCCTACAGCTAAAAGCTCAGGTCTCCTTGGTGGCACATAGCGTCTTTTATCAACTTTGGCTAATATGCCAGCTAAAGTTGTTCCTTGAAAAGAGTGATCTGGCCGATCACATCCAGATTAGATTATTGTGTGCATTGAAAAATGTCCAGAAACGAAAGCTGGTCCAAAATGTGACAGGCTACAGTCAGGGGTGCGATGCAGGAAACCTGTCACCCCTGCACTGAAAGATCTCCTCTTGCTGACCGTCTGCTTCCGAGTTCTTACCTGTAAGGCCCTGAACAGCTTGGGGCCAGGTTGCTTGAAGGACTGCTTCCTCCTGCACTGTCCAGCACACCAGTTAAGATCTTCCATACAATCCCATGTATGCTGCCCAGAGCTTCTTGGAGGAAGGAATGGATGAAATCCTAACCAATTTTTTAAAAAAATAATGATTCATGAGATGCCTGGGTGCAACCTTATGGGGTCAAAATCAGCAGTCACATGCAATTAGTTTCTTGTTACTCATTGCCTCAGCTCCAACCATAAATCTGGGAAAGGAGCATTTTCAGGCAAGTGTTTACCCAGGAAGTCCTTGAAAGAGAGGAGGCCTTGAACTTGATTCATCTGACTCATTTGATGCTGCCCTACAATAAAGCCATGCAAGTTTGAGCATCTATAAAAGCCAGGGAGGCTACATTCTGCTCTTCTTTGCAAGACTGAAGCCACTGGGCCCCTTCGTGAGGTATGTGTCACCCTTTGGAAGCCTAGGAGAGGAGGCCAATGATGACGGGGCTACAACAACAAGTCCTTTTCTAAAGGCCCTTGGGCACAGCTTTCACTCAGAGGAAATTTTACCTGCAAATTACTCCCGGGATGAAAGTCTCAGTAGGCTTCAAGAAGTCTTTCTCCAGTTTGTTTGCTGGCATACAAGGCGCATTGCCTTGTTCAGCTTGGTCTGTGGGTGTACGGATGATAGCGATTGTGGGTTGAATTCAGCTGAATTTGCAGGGTGTCTGCAGTAGCCGTGACGCTCTCTTGCCCCCTGCCTGTTGCAGATCTTGACCGGATCGCTTCTCAGATGGCCCCAAAAGTGATTCCAGGATTCCTTTTCAGAACATCCATCCTCATAATAATGCTTTTGTCGTACACCGGTGCAGGTGGGTATTGAGCCAGAAATGCAGAACCAGATCTGAGTATTTGAACAGAGAGCTGCTTAATGTTCGGGTAGCATAGCAGTGGCAGATCCCTGCTCCTCTGTCTTTCCATCAAAGTCTGTCAACTGCTGATGTTTGGTAGGGGAAGAGAGCTGGGAAGGAACAGAGAGGCTCTATTTATGTTTGTTTTTTTGAAATGAATTAAGCTCTATGTCTGCCCTGTAGTCCAAGTCTTCTAATGCCCAACGTATGCAATAAAATATCCCTTTCTCTCCCCAGATGTAGGGCTGACCATTAACGCTAACACCGCTGACTACAAGCTGCCTACAAGGCCAGGCCTAATGCAGTCCCTCTGGTGCGCTGTACAGAATCACAGCCATGAGGAGGAGTTGCTGTGGCTCCGGCAGGACGGGACGGTTGACCTGAAAGATGGAAACCGAGTGAACGCCAGCAATATCTGCATCTCCCCTGTCACTATGGATGACAATGGGGTTTCCTTTACCTGCAAGCTGGCCCGGGATGAGTCCATTCAGATCTCCGTGGTACTGGATGTCATGTGTGAGTAGTCTGGGTGGTTGTTGACTGTCAGGCGATGGGGGGGGGAAGCTGGGTTAGCATTGTGGAGCTATGGACTGAGTCTGCTTTTTTACAAAAGCAGGGAGTTTGGATTCTGCATTGTGGAGCTATCGACTGAGTCTGCTTTTTTACAAAAGCAGGGAGTTTAGATTCTGCAACCTGTATAAATCATGCTCTTATTTTGCACACCATCCTGAGGTTCTTGGGGGAAGGGTGATATAAAGCTAAACCAATCCTGCTTCTCCTAGTTGAAGGGAAGGGGGTTCTGGGTGGGGAGACAAAAATGTACCAGGCACTGAAGGCTTCTCTCCCACCCACTCAGTCCTCCCAATCACTGACGATCTTGCTGAGTCCCCTCTCTGGGGTCCAATATTCCTCAATCTCACCTGCATGCATTTATCCCTGTTTTGTAGCTTTGGCAGCTACAAATCGGCTTTTACATTTTAAAAATTAAAGCTGAAGTTCCCAGGTTGCTGAATCCTGTGCCCAGTACTGTGTTGCAAGTCCAAGACCGGATACGTTTGCCTTCAGTAACTCATACCTGAAGTCACTGAAACTTATCCACCTTCTCACATATATTGGTCTCACAGTCTTAGTAAGGAACAAGTTGGGCAAACCCATGGATATGTTCCCACCTAGAGATATGGAGGCCCAGGAAAAGGTGAACATCCCTCTACAGATTTTCTTTCAATTTTTCTGCTGGAATAACTGGAAATGCTGGGGAGCATTAAAAAAAAAATTGTGAAACCTCTTCTTTAGAATGAGCGAATGCTTTTAAGATGATGTTTCAGTCACTCAGAATGTACAATCCATTTTTTTTAATTGTAGACTATCTAGAGCATTAGAGAATACTAATTCATGTGTACATTATAGATATATACAATATTATCATTTATTGTTTAAATATGACTGTGACACCCTCCTTATTAGGGAGGACTAGTTTCACTTTAAAAGTTCTCTTTATTTTGTTTAACTGGGTATTTTTGCTGCCACCAGGAAATTTTAAGGATTTCCAAACCTTTATGCTTTTACTTTTGCTCTTACTAGTTTGGTAGACCGAGTTTAAGGCTTACGAGGAACTATGTGGTCCTGGGAAGTATTTCATTCAGAGCTGGTATAAACTTGGATAAAATAGGATTTATTGAAATAACTACTAAATAAGAGGGTGGTACACTGTAACTAGTAATGTGTAAATGGTGAACAATTGCTTTGGTATCACACACAATCTTATCCCTCACTGACAGGGATCTTTTCATGTAACTTTGTAACACTTGTTTATCTCAATGCCATATATGTTCACTGTTTCACTCCAGTTTATTATGACACTCAGACTTTCCTTTAACTTTTCTTCTCTTAAACTTTACTTTTTCCTATACACTCAGCTTTCAGCTCTCTTTCTCTTTCTCACGGAACAACCTCAGCTGTCAGCTTCTAACTGCTTCAACACAGAACTGCTTGTCTACATCAACTGTCAACTTGTAACTGAAATTCCTGACTGACTCACATACTCATCCACCCAGATTCACTTCCAAAACCCCTCCCCTTCTCTGTCAACCACCAATCATATCACACTTGCCTCTCTCAACCGCTCTAGTCAATCTACCACAGCCATGCAACCAAACTTTTAAAGAGACACACACACACAAAAACAAGGAATCATTACAATGACAAATGTTGTTCACCATCAATATGCTATAATGTGTATGATGGTGATAATGGAAGAGTTCAGTATAGGGAGAGTTGTAAGTCTTGAAGAGTAGAAAACTTAATGTCTAAATATGCTGCCAGTCCTACTGTGGCTGTATAGGACTGTTCTGTCCAAATAACACTTTTTTGTGTGTTTAACAGAACATTTTTTTCTATTTTCAACCATTTTTTCTTGGACAGCAAAAATTAAGACACATGGCTAAGGTAGCATAAGGTACAAAAGTGTGCAGCATTCTCTCTCTCTCTGGTATTGGGTATATTTGCACTTTGCTTCTAGAAACCTAAGGCTGTAGCCCCAAGCAAATCTACTCAAAATCCTAGTGAGCCCTGTTCACTGGAGGCTTACTCCAGAAAACGTTCTTAGGATCACACTGTTAGGCATTTCATATGTTGGGATTTCATACATTTGTCAAATAGTGCATTTTATATGCTAATTAAGTAATAAATGATGTCTTTTATGTTGTTAGACTAGCAAAACACATATAAGTTTGATACAAAATTAAGTATTTTGGAAAAAGAGCAATTGAAAATTTACCCCCCAAATTTAGGTTTTTTCCATTTAAAAAATCCACACCAATGGCTTCAATATTTAGACATTTCTTTACATTTCTATTTAGACCCCAGGAAGTTTCAGATGGTGTTCAGAAGCCACAGACAGGATTCTGTATAATCTGCAGAGCGCGGACAGGGATGTCAGCACTGTTAGACTGCCCTATAGACAGCCGTTGCCATGTTAAACCCAGAGAATAAACAACACAAAATAACTGGGATGCTGTCTTCTAATTCTGGAGTTGCATAGAGGGGTCCCTCCTGAAGGTTTCCATGCACTCCAGATTGTTCCCCAACAAATGTTGGTCCCATTAAATATTCTGTTTCTTTTACCCCAGGTGCCAAGTGAGAAAATAGAGAATCTGAAATTAATTCAGTTTATGATATGCCCCCCCCAAAGAAGCACATTGAAATTTAAACAGAAAACTGATTTTAATAGTGTTCACTTTTATTTTTATCACTGTTTTGCATTTTGTCCTTTGGGACTAGAAACAGGAGGATTTTTAGATGATTTGTCTCTGGTCTTGCTAAGTCGTCTTGGGGGAAAGGGCAGTGAAAGACATGATACTGACATGATTCTTTGCTGGTACTTAATAGTCCCTCCTACCCTAAGTGGAGAAGATCCTTCCTCAATATTCGAAGAAAATGATGTGACACTCAGCTGCCACGTGAAGGCTAACCCTCCAGCTCAGATGGTTTGGTATAAAGACAACAGCACCTTGGTTTTGGAACCTGCCCGTCACCGAATTTCCCAGACCACCGAGCTCTTTCAGCTGACGATCGAGAGAGTCCAGGAATCTGATGGTGGGCTGTATACTTGCGAGGCCATATCTGCCCTGGGAACAGCACAGATAGATTTTCACTTGACTGTCGAAGGTAATCCTGCAGTAACAATGTTGACTGGCCATATGACCAATAGCAAGTGACAAGACCTGCTGGCAATCCGCTGAGGTCTGTAGCCTGACCAGCTCGCACTGTCTTGCCCTATGGTTGCCATTCTACCCTGGCCTGTTTGCTTACATGTACTGGGTGCAGGTAGAGATTACCTTATGCACATTTACCTGAAAAACTCAAGAGCATTAGCTGAAGCACACACAAGAGCTAGGGAGCTTGGCCTTTGTTTCAAATTCCGAAGGCAAAACTAGTTGCCTTAAGCTTTTGGAATTCTTAAGATTCCAGTCACGGAGAACTGGTAACTGAGCATCCATGGAATCAAGGCCAGGGTGACCATTAATGAGCCATGGGCTGCATGAGTAGCCGTTTGACGGCCCTGCCTTTTGGCAGGAGACTCAGACCAGATGGCCTTTTGACCTGCTCTCATTCTAGAATCCCAGGAAGGGCTTGGAGTAAATAGTAACAGCAACAGCATTTGTATCATGCTTGTGAATGTTGTAAGCGCTTCCCTATACACATGAAGCTGCTTTATACTAAATCAGACTATTCTTCCATAGGGATGCCAGGTCTGGGTTGGAAAATACCTGGAGACTTTGGGGGGTGGAGCCAGGAGAGGGCGGGGTTTCAAAGCAGCCATTTTCTCCAGGGGAGCTGATCTCTGTCAGCTGGAGATCAGTTGTAAAAGCGGGAGATCCCCAGGCCCCACCTGGAGGCTGGCAGCCCTATTCTTCCATCAAGGTCAGTCCTGTCTACTTTGACTGGCAGTGGCTCTCCAGCGTCTCAGACTGAGGTCTTATAGTTCACTGGGGGAGGACTTAAGGGACCTTCAAACGGTGGGCTGGCACACTCGGGAGAAGTGCTTTCGTAGAAGGACTCATAAGCACTGCAGCAATTGTAGGGTTTCATGGACTTGGAATTGTCAAGAGTTCCATGGCCCGGAGGAGTGCTCAGCTCTGGGCTGTGATAGGGTGGGTAGAAGGTGGTGTAAGGAGATCTGGCATGATGGGCAGTTTCCCCCGCCTGACCCATCAAGAAACTTCGGGCGTTCAGCTGTAGGCATCCCGCCACCAAGTTTGTTGTTGGCTGGGAGAGACCTTTGCACACGTCTTTCACATATCTTAGGTCTTTCACATCACCTACTGCCTGGCCCTTAACTGGACATGCCAGGGATTGAACCTGGGACCTTCTGCATGGAAAGCAGAGGCTCTTCCACAGAGCCACAGACCCTCCAATACCTAATTACAATCATTACAGTAGCCCTGTGGGATTGATCAACATTTTAATCCCCATAGTGTAGGCAGAGACTTAAGAACATAAGAGATGCCAATGTTGGATCAGGCCAAAGGCCCATCCAGTCCAACACTCTGTATCACACAGTGGCCAGAAATACCAGTGCCATCAGGAGGTCCACCAGTGGGGCCAGGACATTAGAAGCCCTCCCACTGTTGACCCCCCCAAGCACCAAGATGACAGAGTATCACTTGCCCCAGAGTCCCTATCTATACCTTCTGGCTAATAGCCACTGATGGACCTCTGCTCCATATGCTTATCTAATTCCCTTTTGAAGCCGTCCATGCTTGTAGCCACCACCACTTCCTGTGGCAGTGAATTCCAAGTGTTAATCACTCTTTGGGTGAAGAAGTACTTCACTTGAAGTGAGAGAGTAATTTGCCTATACCCACCAAGTGAGCTCATAGAAGAAGGCAAACTCTTCTGAGGTCACTATTTGAGAATCAGGAGTGACTTGCAAGAACATACTTGGGACTTCAACTGGTTGGACCAGTCTTTAGTGTTATAGCACGCATATAAGTGTTGGCAGGATTAGAACTACCAGTATTAGTTTTGAATGGGTTAACCAAAGGCCTTCAGCTCAGTCTGGTCTTGTTTATGATCATAAGAACATAAGAATATGAGAGAAGCCATGTTGGATCTAGTCCAACACTCTGTGCCACACAGTTGCCAAAACCCAGGTGCCATCAGGAAGTCCACCAGTGGGGCCAGAACTCCAGAAGCCCTCATACTGTTGCCACACAAGCACCAAGAATAGAGATCCCTGGTCAGTACAAAGCATCAGCGATTCTATTTGGCAATTACCAGGTGTGTGTCCCCCACTGAGTGAACACACAAACACAGTTTCATAAAATAATCCTATGTGTCCAGTATCCAATGATGGTGGTGTCCTTTTCCCTTTCTCTCTGCCCCACAATAGCCGGAAGACTTGCCTTTCCAATGGAGGCAGTCATTGCTGCAGCAGTGGTGGTCGCGCTCACTATCTTCTTTGCTATTGTGGCTCGACGAGAAGCAATACTTAAGGTAAGAAGAACCTAGTACAGGAAGGCCCTCTTTTTATAATACATTATAATAATAATACTTTTTGATTTATTAATCGCTCTTTCCCACACACCTGCAGGCTTAGAGCGATTTACAGTTACTCTTTAACAATTGGACTAACAATATTTGTGGGGGATAGGGAAGACAACATATAGCATTTTAAATTACACACACATCGCAGCTAGCCGGGGCTTCATCTTCGGGCTGGATCAGTCGTGTTCCTACGGCATGTATTCTTGTCGGCTGGCTGATGACGTCAGGGCTTCTTGATGTTGTGCCGCCACACTGCCGCCGCCTGGTCGACTCACTGCACTGCAGGGAAGCCGGCCCAGCTCTTTCATCTTTTTGATCTCGCCGCACCTCAGAAGCTGCACTCGGCTGCTAACACCTCCCCCGAAGGGAGCGGCGTGCCCACCCCCTTACGGGTGGTCCCCAATTTATCTACTCACCGAAGCTTTCGAACCACTGGGTAGACGATGAGCTAGGATAAGGCTTGGTTGCTCACACCAGCACGGGGCTAGAACTGCCAAAGCTTGGCAGTTCAGATGTTACAGTTAAGCAGGGAAAAATCCCCCGCGCCACCGCTCCCGCTTTTATGTATCATGTGATGACGTAAGGAAAGCCCGGGCCCTGGACAAGGGGCTCCAGCACTAAAAGTGAAGTGCTGCAGAGAGGGTAGGAAGGGAGTGGGAAGGGAGCCCTCAGATAAATACGTGTTTAAATTGGCAGCAGCCCTGTAAAACCAGAGAGGAGTTAACTATGGCAGTGATCCTATCCACCAAAAGCAGGTTGCTCCACCCCCACGATCTGTGCACTTCAGTTTTGAGGAAATGCAGGTAATATAACTGGAAGGGCTACATGTGCCCAGACCTGGATAGCCCAGGCAAGCCCGATCTCGTCAGCTCTTGGAAGCTAAGCAGGGTCAGCCTTGGTTAGTGTTTGGATACGAGACCTCCAAGGAATACCAGGGCCATGACGCAGAGGCAGGCAATGGCAGCCCACCTCTTGACCTCTCTTTTGAATGGGGTCACCATAAGTTGGCTGTGACTCGACAGCAAAAAAAGGGGGAAAAAGGCTACACGGGGAAAGTGTGAGGGGGAAAATTCCCATGCTTGATTTCTGGGTGCCAAACTGCTGACTTAAGGGAGCAGAGTCAAAAAAAAGTGACAGTCCTGAAGTAAATTAAAAGTAAAATGGTAAATTCCCAAATCCTTATTTATACCTTTCCTAAGTAAGTGCCAGTCTGGGATTCTAACTGCAACCCAGATGCTTCTGGTAGTACTTGCTACATTTTGTAAGGTGAATGGGTGTCCAGATCCATCTTACAAAGCTCCACTTTTATGTTACAAAGTCGTTGTGTTTGCTGGGGACTGCGAGATGGGCATCCTGTGCCACCTGTGAGATGGGCATCCTGTGCCTCCCAGATGCACACTGGCTGTTTTCTCTCTGTGACCAGTACACATGGAGAAGTGGCTTTAGCCTCTTTTCAGGTCTGCAAACTGTCACAGACCCCGGGCACACCGCCCCGATATCGCGGGGGGAGGCGTGGCTAATTGCCCCGGCGCAGTTTGATCTGCGATTACGCGATCAGACGCGCAGGCGGCACAGCACGGGTCCTTCCCTCAGTGCCAGAGGGTAAACGAGCGACCGGAGGGGAATGCTGCGCGCCGGCGCGATCACATCATGGGCGTCTGGAGGCAGCCCGTGGCAAATGTTTACTAGTACCTTGGAGGTACTAGTTTTTAAATGCGCATTGTCGGCGGTAAGCCACGGGTGCGCGCCACTTCCCAGATGTTGTGGTGTGATCGCGCCCGGATAATCCGCCCACCTTCCGTGCCTCTCCCGCAGCAACTTTGCCGTGTGACCGGGGCCCTATGGAGCCACTGTTGGATCCATTGTGAAACTGGGGTGAAGCAGTGTAAGTAACATGATTTTTACAATGGAGCCAATAACAGCATTCCAGGACAAAAAATAGAAGGGAGTGGAGGAAAGAAACTCCATTTCCCCCCGCTACCCATGGTCACAGTGAAAACCACATGTGTTGTATCTGGGACTGTGTAAAGCAGTCTAATACAGGAGACCCGTGGGGGACAAGTATCTGTTTTGGTGTGGCCAGCAGAAGGCAGTCTTCTCTCAGGGAATTTCCTTGCCACTCCAGCCTTGGTTTATCCTTCAGCTTAGAGAACAAAATTAAAAAGGACTGCAGCTATATTGTGCTTTCTGAAAAAAGGAAGGCATTGTAGTTCGATTGATTCTCTAGTCCGATTTGCCTTCCTATTCCAATAATATCTACATGGCACTTTAGGGTTTTGGCATCGTTACTCACACTGCGCCTGGCTTTCTGCTGGGAAGGAGCAGGTGGCACAGCATGAGGTCAGGGGAGAGGGAAAGAACTTCCATCCACCCCATGCCAGGCAGGCCAGAAACTGGTCACTGGACCGGATTGAAACTTGGCAGCTCCTAGTCTGATCCAAAATGCGTAACCTGGAAGAAGTCCTGTTGAAAATGTGTTTTGATGAGGTTGTAACACTTTGTTGTCTTTTCCTTTGAAGTGCTTCAGAAGGGCAAACGAATCGCCAAGCAACACAGCACTGTAGAAGAAGAAGAAGAGATTGGATTTATACCCTGCCCTTCACTTGGAGTCTCAGAGCGGCTTACAAACTCCTTTCCCTCCCCCTCCCCACAACAGACACCCTGTGAGGTCGGTGGGGCTGAGAGAACTCTGACACAAACTGCCCTTTTTCAAGGACAGCTGTGCCAGAGCTTGTGACTGACCCAAGGTCACATCAGCAGCAGGTGCAAGTGGAGGAGTGGGGAATCAAACCCGGTTCTCCCAGATTAGAGTCCCCACACTTAACCGCTACACCAAACTGGCTGTATTTGCGTGACTCGACAGTCTGATAACAATCAAAAGATGTTGTAGCAGCTCTTGAGTATGTTCGCTCTTGGCACAGCCAACAGCAGACAGTTCAGTGGCGTCCCCACTTACACTAATTAACTGACATGGGGTCGCTCTCCTGTGCAAGCCCCGCTGAAAGGAGCAGGGGCTGTAGAAGTGTGCCACCCTGCTTGTGCACAGTGACCATTCCTTTCAGTGGGGCTTGCACAAGCGGTTCCAGCAGCACTGCCCCCATCTTGCCCTCGGCCACACATAAATGGCTCTCAGAATTCATTGCCCTGCTTTGCCTAAGGGCAGAGTTGCCTCTGCGTCTCCTGTGATCGAGAGGGCACCCTCAGAATGGCAAATTCCTGCCCTCCCCATTTGTTGGTTTCGAAGCGGCCCCAGGGCCATTGAACCTGTTTGACTCTCAAGAGTTAACTCTGCTTAGCAGCCGCTGACCCTTCCTTGTTCTCCGTTACCTCTGATGATGAGAACTGCTGCTTTAAAAAACCTTTGCCGAGCAGAAGGCTAGAGTCTGACCTCTCCTGGCAATTAGGACCTTTCACACATGACTTTTGAAGATACACGTGTTGTGGCTGTCTTGTGAGATGCAAGGAGAGCTTGAGAAGTGATAAGGGAGGACGCTCGCCACTGGCCATGTTGCTGCCGCTCTGCTTGTACCAGTGCTGGCTTTCTCTTGGTGGCGTGTTCCTGTGCTCAGCCGAAGGCATTGCTTATTCATATCAATATAACCAGGGCTATTTTGGGGCAGGAACGCACAGGAATGGAGTTCCAGCTGGCTTCAGAGTTGGCCACGCCCACTACAGTCAAAACCTCTGCATGCGTGGCTATGGAGGGAAGGCCTGGAGAGCGTCACCTCTCTTGGCGACTCCGAGGTGGGCGGGCCAGGGGGGCTCTTGGAAGGAATGGGGAAGCATTTAAATGCCTCTTCGTGCCTTCTCCGGCCTGTCCAAGGGCCAGCTTGCCAAGGCACCCTGCAGCCACCGGGTGCCACAGCAAGCCAAGGGAAGGCATGGGTGTGTGGCCTAATATGCTAATGAGTTCCTTTTGTTGGTGTGGCCTATTGTGCTAATGAGTTCCTGCTGTGCTTTTTCCACCAAAAAAGCCCTGAATATAACAAGGAAACGTCTTTTGTCAGCCAAGATTCCCTTCCAAAGAAAACATGCCGCTTCTTTGCAAGCATATCTCCCTTTATTTGGTGTTGTGGTTTCTTTTTACCTTTTCTTCCTTTCCCTCCAGGTGAAGGAATTCCCATTTTGGCACAACATAAGAACCTTCCTCAATAGCAGTCACGGGCTGCAGATCCTTCCCCGGGCGTCTGTGGCTCAAATGCCTCCATGATTTATTTATTCTTATTTAAAACGCTGCTTCGCTTTCCCTGTGTACATGTTTGGCTCCTAACTCCATTTCCTTGAAAAATTGGGAATCTCCTACTGGCCAGACTTTTCAAGTGTTCTTCCGAGGTAAAAGATTAACTTCAGGGTTGTCGCTGCCCTAGCAAAGTCAGCCAACGTGTCTGCATGAAAAAAGAAGGGAAGGTGTGTCATTCCCCCCGCCCCCCCCCCCGTCATCAGACAGAGGCAATCTCCATTTTTAATAAGGTTTTAATAAATTACATTTTGAAGAGAGCATCATGACAGGATTTCATAATTGCTTGCTGGTTAACATTCATTATACGGGCTATTAATTCATCTCATTCTCTGTCTTCTCGGAAAGTGAACAAGAGCATTGCCACGTCAGCCTTACACGTTGGGGTGGCAGCACTTCTGCAAGCCGCCTTTTCCTCTGCAGTCCCCGTGGTTTATTTTGCACTTGCTCCTCAAGCTGCTTTTCGGAGGCATCTTGGTACAATGACTTAGAAGTGGGTGAACTGCTCTTGTTCCCTGGAGGCCCCAGAAGAGTCCCTTCTGCAGTGGGTCAGCCTGTTCTTCTGTGCTGTGAACTTACTGAGCCCCCGTAATATTCATAGCAGGGAAGGGCAACACGTACCAGCTGAAGGAAGGCTCATGTGGGTAAAGGCAGGCTTGAGGGGGGCTCCACTCATAATCCCACTTTGGCTATTATGAGGGAGGTGGGTTCTGTACAGGCATATCTCGGCTTTTGCACTGTCACTTGGCTTTCCTGAGAGTTAGACATCTGTTGACCTGTTTATTCTGTTGAGGGTTTTGTTTTTTGTTTTTTTGGTCTTGCACATGAGTTGCCTTGAGTTGCTTTTGCTAGTCATACAAGTAACCATTAGGTTGGATCCCATCTAAAACTTCCCCTTCCTGCAGAAGCCTGAAATGCGGCTCCTGGGGAATGGGGGCCCTCAAGAGCAGCATAAGAGGAGTTTGACTGCTGCCATAGGACAGGGGAATTAGCAAAAATTGCCCAGCCCATAATGCATACACAGATCTTTTCAGTGGGATCCAACCCATTCTTACCTTATGGCTTTTCCTGTTTTTTAAAATAATATTTTGTTAAGGTATGTTCTTTTCTTTCCTTTGTTAACCACCTAACAAAAATGGCTGAGGGAGGCAATAAAAGTATTTTTAACAGGAAAAAAAATGAGGGAGGTGGGAGACTTGGACCACATTGGAAGCAGTGTGGCACAGGGGACTAGGAGACCTGGATCTAAATCTCTGCTCAGTCACAAAACTCATTGAGTTCATTAATTTTAATGGTTTTTATAATCAGTCTTAAAAATTTTGCTTCTATTTTAATGTGATGTTTTCTTTCCATGTTACATAATGTAAAGCAGTTTATGTGTTGGTCAGTGACCGTGAATAAATTCATTCATTCATTCATTCATTCATTGAGTTCATGTCGCTCTGTCTAACCTAGGCCCCGTTCACACGCCGAATTTGCTGTGGGAGAGCCACGAATGCTGGGCAGATTTTCAGGGCGCGATCACACCGCAACATCTGGCAAGCGTAGCGCACCCGTGGCCAACCCGTGGCGTGCCGCCGAAGCTGCGCAGTTAAAAAGTATCTCAACAAATGTACTAGCAAATGGTTTGCCACGGGCTGTTGACGGAATCATTCCATGTGATCGCGCCGGCACGTGGCTTTCCCACGGCTGCCCTCCTTGACGCGCACGGGCTGACAGACAAAACTGCGGTGTGCCGCCGTCGTGTCTGATCGCGTTCTGGCGGGTCTGATTGCGCCGGCGCAAAGAGCCACGCCTCCCCACCACGTTATCTGGCCCGTGTGACCGGGGCCCTAGCTCAGGATGGGAGGGGGAGCTGTTTTATATTTATTTATTTATTTATTTATTCGATTTACTATCCCGTCCGAACCCCTGGGGGTCTCTGGCCGGCTTACAGAAGGTGCTAATCACATTTTTACAGAATCTAACCTAGGGCCACAGACATAGGGGTGGTGACTACCCTACCAGGCACCCTTTTCTTGCGGCGGATCTTCGGTCGTTGTCTTGTTCTTGCGGGAGGTAGTCGGCAGCGTCCTTTCTGGTGCTGGTCTTTGAGGTTCCCTTCTTCCGGCTGTAGCGATTCCATTTCCGGGCCAGGACCACTCGCACTTCCGCGCATGCCCCGCTGTGGCCTCTGTCCCGATGAGGCTCCGGCCTGCTGCGTTGCTCCGCCTCCACGCCAGTTGGTCCGGCCTCCTTTGCTTGCTCGCTCCTTGCCTCGCCAGCCACCATTTTCTCCGTTGCCGCCGCCACCGCTCGCCGCTCGCCGCAACACAGGGACGGGTGCCCCCCTGCTCTAGTAGCAGGTACCCATTAGTCTAATCGCCCTTTAACGGGCTTTCGAACCACCAAAAGTTCCTTGGATATAAATTGCAATAAGGAAAGCAACACTGAAAACAGAGATTCAAGTGCAAGGCAAGAGCCCATTAACCAAACTCGCAAGTGTCATTTTTTGACTATGGGTCCGTGTAGTGAGGAGCAATGAAGTGAGACTGCTCTTAAGTGGCTCATTCACACGTGGCCAACATAACACGCAGCCAGGCATGCCTTGTTGGGAAGGACAGCTCACCCAGCGCCCCCACGATGCGGTACGTAAGCCCTGAGGTGGCAGCTGCCGTGGGCAAGGTAGAAACAGAAATGGGGAATACAAATGGTTGGCACTCGTTACAGCAGGGGTCCCCAGCATGGTGCCCGCGGCGCTGACACCTTCCCTAGTGCCCGCCAAGTGTTTTTAGAAAGTGAGCAGAGCCAGGTGGGGGTTCTGCCAAGCCAGGCTTCTTATCGGCCACTGGAAATGTGGTTGGCTGTGCAGATTTTTTTTAAAAAACCTTGCTTTGACAGCAGCTGCCTTCACAGCCCAAGGATCTTCACTGTGTGACCAAAGATCAGCTGCAGCAGCCAGTTTGGTGTAGTGGTTAAGTGTGCGGACTCTAATCTGGGAGAACCGGGTTTGATTCCCCACTCCTCCACTTGCACCTGCTGATGTGACCTTGGGTCAGTCACAAGCTCTGGCACAGCTGTCCTTGAAAAAGAGCCGTTTGTGTCAGAGTTCTCTCAGCCCCACCCACTGCACAGGGTGTCTGTTGTGGGGAGGGGAAGGGTTTGTAAGCCGCTCTGAGACTCCAAGTGAAGGGCGGGGTATAAATCCAATCTCCTCTAAATGACTGCTATCATTTCTAATTAGGCTTGCCAAGTCCCCCGGGGGGCGGGGAAACCCCCGCCCCAGAGGCCTGTTCCCCACTGCCGGCGGATTAGGTCCCGGGGGGAACTCCACCCCCACATGCATGTCACCCAGA